GGTTATTTGACTTGGCCAAACCAGAGCTTGTACCCCCTCCCAGAGAGTCCTCTGTAGTCTCCTGGTTCTCCTGCCGTAACACCAATTTATCACCATGCTCCTATCCCTCATCTGGGATTAATTCCTTACCCCCTTGGGCACCTCTAATCCCACCCTGAAAAATTGGACGATCCTTCACACCACTAATTGGTGACGGCCGTATGATAGTAGTCGAGAGAAGTACGTCTTCAACATGTGATTTCGCCTTATGTATTGCTACCTCCTTTTCATCAAAGAGAGAACCTATTTGAAATTCATCCCCACTCTCTACGTCTACAGTGACCTGAACAGTATCTCCGACGTCTGAGTTTCTACTACTGGAATCATCTTCAGAGGAGAAATCATCATCTGAGTTCTCACAACAAACCCAACGATCCTCTATACTGTCGTCGTCGTCGTCCTTCTAGTCCGCCTTCAACCTTTCATATCGAGGATTCGACCTGTTGTGACATTTCCACAATAGCTGCGAGAGCTTCGAACCAGTTTGGCTGCCTTGGGACGATGTGGACGATGATAGATCAAAAATGCCATCCCCCATTGTCCTATTAAAAGCTTCACATGTGCTCTTTAAGTTATCACGTGGCCCAAGCTTAACAGGTGGTTTGGTTTGTCGGTTAAACTGAGGTTCAGCGGGTGGACCAACTATTTTACCCCCATCCCTCAAAATATCCACAAATGACGGTTTATCCGTCAGTCTGACTGGACGGCGAAATTCAAAAGAATTTGAAGAGCCCATCTTTAATGACTTAAGGCCCGACGGTCCGCCTTCTATAGCAGAACCAACATAACTCAGTTGATTTTCCATAAACTCTTGTCCACTTGGCATCACTCTGGACACGTCACCATCTTCTCCAACCTCCTTGCCTTTCTCCAAAGCATCGTTTCAACTTCCAAAGCTAGCCAGACTCTTCACCATTGTCCGCCAGAAGAAACCTCAACGAACCTCGGAACTCTCTGCGGATGAGAACCCTGAATCTTGATCTTAGCGACTTGAAGGGATGAAAGGTTCACTGCAATGAGCGATCCTCCACAAAGATCTGCCACTCTGGAGAAGACCTCCTGCTTCCAAAGATTGAACAGAAGACCAATCAGTTTTACTTGTAAAACCTCCTCTTCCTCCATCACAAACTCATTGCAGGACGGAAACCAACTCTGTAGCAAGGCCCAACCTTCCCGTGTTTGCATCTTAGCCACAGCCTCAAGAGGGCAACCAAGGTCCAAGATAGCAGCCTTCTTTTCAAATGGGAACAGGAAAGTGTGTTCAATCTCAGGAATACTCTTCATGACATCAGCTAGGATTCCATTCCAGTCCATCACTTCCCCCTTGAGACTTATCACCTTTTTCTTTTCCCAGTCTTCTATCGATCCTTCTAATACAAGCTTTGGGCACGCAATAGTTCCACTGATACCTCTTAGATTTTCTTTCTCCTTTTCTCCAACCTGTGAGACTGCTAGGCTCTTATCAGCAACTAATTTTTGGATAGGGAGGACTGATTTTCTTTCCAATCCCCACCTTCTTTGTACGAAGTCATTGAGAGCACAAGCAATCAAAATCCAATCTTGCTTCTTTTTTCCTTCCGGTATGCAAATCACTTGCCTCTTTCCATTTCCAAACGCTTCAGTTAGCTGAATATAGGTTCCCCTGTTATTGCTTTTCTTCTCCACTGAGAATTTCTTCCTACCTTTTGTTAGACAGTTTTTGTATGCCTTTAACTTCAATCCGATTTGATGTACTTTTGTTATTTAGTGGAAATAAATAAAGTGCATGTTTGATTCATGTTGTTTGGTTTAATTCTGTGTAAGACCCTAAAACTGGACAC